AAGCTCGGAGCTGATGATGCCTGGTAAGATCACATGACCTTTAAGTGTAACTTGGAAAGAATTAATTTTTCAAATAGTATAAATTTAAAGTATGAATGAATGAAAATTAAACATGGCAACAGAAAATAGGTTATGGGTGTTTATTTGATTTATTTAAATTGTACTAGGAATGTAACTTTATATTTGCCCACCTGGTGGCTGCGCATAGCATAAAATTGACTATAATGAAACAAAAATAGTAATTAGTCCTAAGTCTTTTTTTATTAATTTTCTATATGGGTGTGATAAAGCATGACCAGAGTGACTTACTACAGCTGAAGCAGGTTTGTCGTAGGTGTCTCATATAATGAATTTTCGTACCTGAATAAATGCAATTACATGAGATCTGATTTTTAAAATTTATTTATTTATTTATTACTCCAGTTGTTCCAGTCTATCATTTAGGGAATGTAACTTTCAAAGCACAGTGAACAGGAAGACAACTATCTCAGTTGAATTTTGTATGCTTGTAATCTTCAGCATTTTCGATCATGGTTTTTGGTATATCAAGTTGCACTGTATTTCATAGGGCTATATATGAACAGCTGCATGATATATTTCACGTACTCATCTAAAATTTATGATCCTGATGATTTCTGCCTCAAAAACACTTCTTGTATCTTTAAATTGATTAAATAAGTGATAAACTTTGCAAGCTGGAGATGTACATTTAACGGTAAGAGTGAAATTTATAATAGCATATTGTGTTTACTGCTAAGGAGAAGCCATCATAATGACAGAACATAAAGTATGACTCACTGTGAAACGCCTTGCTTGCGCAAACTAAAATTTGGAGAGTTGCTGAATATTTTGCAATGAACATCATGATTATGCTGTATACTTAATGAGATGTTACATTTTAAAAGAAGTGACTTTGCTTTAATGGTTCTATATGTAATTTGTTTGGTCACCTGTGATCGTTATATATGGCGAAAAGCTTGTGTGATCTGCCATAATAAGAATTTCATTGAATTTTACCTATTGTGTGATGAGCATGTTGATCATAACTTACACACATTCATGATTGCTTTGTAAGAAAGATATCATTTCAGTAAAGAAGGCTACAAACCACATTTGTTGTAATTATTACCATTATGTCATATTATCTTGTGTTCTTTAGGAGCACCATTAGGCAGGAAACATTGTTTCGTTTCAACATTGTCATTTGTTCACTTGTGTAGGTATTGTCCTACATGCAAGAAGCATCAGCAAGCTACAAAGAAGTTTGACTTGTGGGAGTTACCTCGAATTCTGATCATCCACTTGAAGAGGTTTGTGTTCGACAGATATCGTCGAGATAAGGTTGATCGAATGGTCCAGTATCCTGTACGAGGTCTCAATATGTCAGAATATGTAATCAACAAGAGTCACCCAGAAGCTGTATATGATCTGATAGGAGTATGCAACCACTTTGGAGGATTAGGGGGAGGCCATTGTAAGTGTTTCTGATTTCGTTAATATTTTTAGAATTGAGGCAGGACAATGGCAAATTTCGTGATAGTTGTGTTATGTGTATGACAGCATTACTGAATATAATATCTTTACTGACATTAACACATCATATATCATAATTTTTTCTTTCAGATACTGCATCTTGCCAGAATCATAATGATCACAAGTGGTACTTATTTGATGACAACAGTGTGTCTGAAATTAAAGAACAAGCTGTTGTGGTAAGTGTAAGAAATTTCTTCTTGAACAGTTAACATGTTCACTTCCTGGTACTCTGCCTCTGGCATACATCTCAGCTCATCTGCTTTTAGCAGTATTCTAACATTTAGCATTATTTCCCTTCTTCCCTGGCTCTTCGACCCAGTTGTGGGTTTTCACCGCCTCCTTTTTCAGAGGTTTCCTAGACTTTGAAGTGTGCATCTGTGAGTAGTGAGTGACAAGCCCGCTGCCTCTGCACAATTTCTACTGAATTCTAATTTGTCTGTTAGAGCCATCTAGTAGAGAATCAGGAGAGACAAGGGTGAGAAATCGCCGCTGAATTTTGCTTATGAAACATCTCATTCATGCTCGTAAAGTTCCTTTATATGCTGTAAATCGACAACATGGGACTGCCAGCTTTACTTCTCCAAAGGAAGTTGTGCTACAGGTTTTTATTACCCTTAAAAATCCATTGACCTTGGATGGATTTGATCCCGTGAGCCTTGTGTCCAGTGGCAAGTACGCTAACCACTAGATTTAGCGTTATTACATGAGGAAAGAATTGAATGGCAGTCTTCATAAGTTCAAGGAATTGCATAATGGCATGCACCACGCAGTGACAAGATAAAACTACCTGCCCAAAGTGCATTCTGAAAGAGATATTTTGTTTTTTCACAATGTGTTGCTGTATGATCAAAGTCAGATATGGCAGTCTGAACAAATCACCGCTAAACATCCAGACTTGTATACAGGTGCAAATGGGTTAAGATTTATAATAATTTTTCATGTTTGCATCATCAGTAAAGTCTGTAACCCCCCCCCCCCCTCAACTACCAACTTTATTCTCACTGTTTCCAGTACTCTTCTTATCCATGTTATTTACAGGCATAAAGCATTGTTCTTTTCGAGGTTGCTTTGAATTTGTAACCATCAAACTAAATTTATAGGTCCTGTGCATTTGCAGCTGGCTGGATTTAAATTTCAGTATTTTCATGATGCTAAGGTTTAATTAAATAATACTTTGCAAGTATTACAGTGGCTTACAGAAATGTGTGAAAATAATTGTATTAATAGTAGAAGTGTCTGTCTAGTGATAAATGGTACTTCTAAGAAAACTGTGTTTAAGGGTTTCATAATGATACCAAATTTTAGACCTGCGCCTTGTCCCAAATATTTTTTAGCTACCATGTAGAGGTCATTGTTTATATTGATACTTGAATAAAACTGAACATATTATTTCCACTAATTCTAAGGGAAGAAAGTGAGCTCGGGGCGTGACGCTGACCACTCATTCCTATCTAGTGTACAATAACTGGTCTTTTATATACCACGACAGAAATGTGGCATAATTGTAAAGAACCACAAGCAAACAGTGTTTATTGCTGTATTATATATATATATATATATATATATAATATATATTTTAATATAACTAATGTTTTAAGCTATGTATTTTATTTCCAGTCAAATGCAGCATACGTATTGTTTTATATGCGGCGTAACTGTTACGATGAACAGATGGAGCTCAACTAGTGATGAGCTTGGTGAGAAACACACATTTTGCCACCATCTTGTGCCTCTCGCAGCTCTGACTGAACACAAGATGCTCCTCACATCTGTGCTGTGATAATAACAAGTAAAACTGATGTGGTTACAAAAATACCCTTCCAAGGATTGTGTATGTGTGATTATCATTATATCGGAGACTCTGGAGACAGGCAATAGGTAATAAATGTAATTACAGTTGTTTAAATAATTCTGTGAGCTTGTTTGTCATACTGTACTGCGTAATTTTATCACATATGTGATGTCTGGATGATGAACTGTAATTTAATTGTGGTACATTTTGTTCTCTGTAAGTTAACATTGGGTGGATATATGTTTCAAAGTCTGGATTGCAGAAAAAAATGTACGTTATGTGTGGGGCTGTGGGAAAGTGGTGCCAGCAACAAGAATTTTGCAACTTATCTCTCAGGCCTCTCCTAATATTGTGCCTGCCGCGATGCTTCCTGTTGCCCGTCCAAGAATCGAAGATGGTGTCCATATGGCTTTGATAGTATCAGATATATCGTGTTTCCATCTCAGTATTTTTAATGCTGCTTTTTCTGTTAATGATCCCAGCCCAGTGATTGCTGACATTAAAACTTCATTTTTCATACTTTATTGCTCATGTTGAGCATGGCTAAACAAGTGGTACTTAATATGAATCACAATTATCTGTAGTATATTTCAGGGTATTGGCATAATAACGGATGTGAGAACGATGCATAGTGCTCACTGTGACATTAGTAAATGTAAATGAAATTATGTTTTTCCATGTGACACCAAATATTTTGATGCATGTAGTGCAGTATGTCATAGATATATTTATTTTTATTTAGTATTAGAATTTTTTCGTGGACTGTAATTTGCTCTATACCAAAACTTTATCAGCTGGTGAACTCTTATTTTGCTTCTCTGAATTTTTACCAGCATTCTTTAGACTTTTGGATAGATTTTTGTGGTAGCAATAAGCAGTGTCTGGGAAGTGGTGTAACAAACTGACTGCCAAGTTGTAAGAGCCTGATATTACTCAGGGAAAAAATTAAATTTACAATTTAATGCATGTATACAAATTTCAATTTTAACACACTTGTTTATGAAGTTCCAAAAATTTAATTATTTGAACTTTATTTAAACCAGGCCTTGATATGTGTGTATTTAGCAAAGTCTTACTGTTGTAGAGCTTTGTGTATATAAATTTTGCAAGGTGCTTTGCGAAGTCAGTGGGCAGAACATCTGCGTAGATTGGAAATTTGCTCTGTGCTGTATCTGGGCAGCGGTACATTTGTGAGGGGGAATTTGTTTCATAATAAGGCATGCAATATGTTTACAAATGTGCTGAAAGAAATAGAGTATTCGTCTGTTAAAGGAACAAACATGACAAAGTCTGCTGCTCATCTGTGAGATATTTTTATGCTAATGGTTTTTTATCAGACATTTTCAAATTTGAAAATTGATTTGAACTTTACACTGTGAAGTAACCTCTGCTTCTTCATAATTATAAAAACAAATAAAGTATTTGAAGTAAAGTGCAGTAAGTAGGACTATGCCAAAAGCCAATAGCAAAAATTGTATTCTGTTCTGTTGCTCCTTTCCAAACTATGAGATCAGGGTTATATAGTGAACAAGGAACACACCATCCATCTCATTTTCTGTTTCAAGGATGTTTGTACAAGGGCAGAAAAGAATTTGTTTCACATAGTAATATAGATCATCTTTTACAAATAAACATGTCAAATTTATTTCATGATTGCTGTCACTGGTGGTTTGTAGTTGTGGGATTTTAATTTTTTCTACTCTGTTGTAAGAATAACATGTTGGATATTGTCCGTTGTCTGAGTTATATTTGATTTACGTGACATTCTGTAAGTCGCCCGCACTCCCTTTTTCAGATGCTAGGTCGTCATTATACTGACAGATTCTGTAATTTTTATATTTTTACATTACTGGCTGTGGTTGGGATTGAACCTGGGCTCTATTGGATATGAGGTTAGTATGCTTCTGGGATGGCTCATAAATATAATTCCGATCACACTTGCTGTTACTTCCTATCTCTTGGTAGAGTTATGACAACCATTTGTGGGCCATCATGGTTAGCATACTAGCATATTATTAAGAAGTTTTTGAGTTTGATGCAGACCATCCCACCATTGTCAGAAATAAAAAAAAAGTTATAAAAATCTGTCATCATAATAACAACCAATTGCTGTAAGATTGGTGTAGGGACAACTCTGAAACATGTTTTTTAAACAGGCCTCAGACAATGGAGTTTCCAACATAATATTCTTATAATAAATCATGTATTTTACAGACCTTTAGATAATCATTTTCTGTACTGTATCCCAAATGTTTTATGATTTCTGCTAATGCTTTTGTGTTTTCAGGACAATCCTTTCTTTCTGTTGATCTCAGCTTTTGAATATATTACCCAGTCATATGTACTTAATATTGTTGTTGAAATACATATTTCTCACATTATCATGGACTCTGAGGCATTGAGCTCTACACAATGTGTAAGTGTTGGTATTTGTTATAGCGTTCTTTTATATTACCAGTACGCTTGGTCTGATGAAGTTCCTGTTATGACCTGTTGGTGCAGATGCTGTTAACTGTAGGTATATATCATTGGAATATACATAATGTAAATGTATGTATGTGTTTCAACTGGCAGCGGACATTAACTCCACGACATCATCATCAAGTAGGTTAGCTCAGTTGGTTAAATTACTGGTTTGTGTTTATGAGGTTCCTGGCTCTATCCTTGATTAGCCATGGCACTTTTTTTGGTGTTCCTCAGTCTTTCCAGGGGAATGTTGGAATATGACACTGCTTTCTCCCGAGTCTGTTCCATTGTGTCATATATAATCATCCCCTCATGACACTACACATTCTCTGTATTCTCCTAGCACGGATTGCATAAAATCTTTACTCAATATGAAAGTCGTGTGTCTGTTTTCGTCTTTTTTCCTTGTTTCAGTTCCAAAACAAGTTTGGTTCAATTTTGTAATGAGTGGTTTGCTTAATTTTGGTGCTTTCCAGTCAAATACAGCCCCTATGTTAACACAAAGCCCAAATTGAACTTGCCACATTTCTAAAAAGTGTGTATATCATGAAATTAAAATATAGATTTCTTAATATCTACAACAGGTATGTGCAACATACTCAGAATGCAAGCCATATTATAAAATACAAAGTTGATTGCAGGCCAGGTCATAGTTTTATTTATTATTTGCAGCTAATTTTTCATTATATTACAGTGGTTAACCATTTAAAGCTGAAGCTTACCAAAGTATTTAATGATTCAGTCTGTACTGCAAAGGAAGCATAACTCTTCACCATTAACTAACTAGATGGCTTACCGAACCTGAAGGTTCATCACCGAATTAACCAAAGCCCTTCACCGGACCCTGTCCTGGGCCAACAAAATCCAGTCTCCTTCAACTCCTATCTCCCATAGATCCCACCTGACATTATACCCAGTGCACATGTCTTGCCCCATCCATGTGTGCTACATGCCCAGCCCATCTCATTTTTCGTGACTTAATCACCCTGACAATATTGGTGGAGGAGTATAAATTTTTGAATTTGTCATTATGTAGTTTTCTCTAGACTCCGTCGTCTTCTCTCCTAGGCCCAAATATCATCCTCAACACTCTATTCTCAAACACCTGCAATGTGTGAGACCATGTTTTGCACCCATACAAAACAACAGGCAGAATTATTGTTTGTTTACACAGAGAATCATACAAAATATATAAATAAAAAATGCAGACATTGTTAAAGCAGGTGTAACATAGTTAACACTAGGCCTTAATGGATTAAACAAATTACATGCTAGTAGAACAGTTTTCAACCCATTAATGCAATATCTGACACTGCTTCGTTTTCATAGTCTATTTTCATAGCTGCCTGCTAAGATGTTGGTGTTTATCAGAATAGCCTCCCTGTAAAGGTTTATTAGGTGCAATTTTAGGTCTTCACAGTAATGGCACAACAATTCAGAAGACAGTCATCTTTGTACTCGTCACTGATATTCTGCAGATATTCTATAAATCTGTCCCATAGTTTTGATTTGGAATGTTCGATTTTTTTTTAAAATATTTGCTTACATATTTTATGTAATTCCAAACAGTGCTGTGTGCGCGTGCATTCATTCATACTTGTGTGTGAAGCAGAAAGGAATTGTTTGGGTGGAGTTAAAATTCATAGAATTCCAGAAGAAATGGGTTAAGATATTTTAATTTATTTCCTTCCGTATTCTGTAAATTCATGAAGTAAATTTGGAAAATGCCCAGCTTGTCTTTGCATCTGCTTCTAAAGTAGATGCAGATATATATAAAAGATGTTTAATGTTTTTATAAAAGTCTTGGACACTTGGTTTGAATTAGTCAATAAACTAACATCAAGATGCATAATTTGGAAGGGTTTGGAGACTTATTTTCTTCCTGAGCATGACGGGTTAATTCCCATTTGAAAGCCATATCTTGTGGGAACTTAGAAACATACATTTATCCAAGAATTTTTACTTCCTCTAGCTGTGATTTCTTAATGTATCAAACTAGACTAGTAACATAATCAAGTCCTCTGCAGATTTTCTGTTTAACACATGCATATTGGTGTGTGTCTTCTAATCAGATTAAAGCCAAACTTCACAGCCTAACAGCATTGCCCATTCACAACAGTAAAAAGCCACAATATACCAGGCAACAAAGATTTTGATGTTCAGATTTTTGCTGCCTGAGTTCTGTGGCACAATCATTATTGAGCAGAAATTTAAAACAGACATGCTCTAAAAGTCATTTTAAAAATACTAGGTTCCACATCAACATTTCTAGGTACCATCTGATCTTGCACCTGGGATTTGTCAACACCTGTTGTATTTCACTATACTTTCATAGTTTAACTGTGAGCATTAATTATTCAAGATAGGGAAACACTGTTTACTACACGTGAAAGAAGCCAGTGAGCCAAGCGCTACCTGCCACTAGGACAAAATTACAGTCCTTTGCTATTTTTTGTATGTATCCATGGTCAGTGATATTTGTAGTTGTACTCTTATGATTCTGGTGCCAACTTGCCTCAAATGTGTTCAAAACTAGTTACCCCAAAATATGGTTAGAATGAATAAGTAGTAAATTAATGTGGTTGAAATTCTTATGATTGACAACGATTTAATTTGTTATCCCTTAATTACACTCTTGGTTGAGTGTCATACAAACAATAAGATATAAAATGTATTTACCTTACAAGAATATTGATAATATAAATTTAATATCTGGAGAACTGAACTGGTAAAAACGTTGGTAATGTGCGTGTACAGTTTTCCCACCATTTTTTGGCAGACAGGTGGGAGTTTACCTAGTGTTTCTCATTGAAACAAGTCAGCATATTAGATTTTAGTCACCCTAGATCTGGGTTTCGTTGAAAACCAGAATTGCTGAAGTGTGTCTAAAATTTCCACAGTGAATAGTTCTGGAGGAGTACTGATCTGTGTTAAGGTACAGTAGATGATGGTTTGTTGAATCTTAAATATTCCAATCAACTGCTTGTAACATAAAATTGAATTTGTAAAGTGATTTTTATGAGTACAAGAATAAATTGTATTTATTTCAACAGAATTTTCATAGATGAAATTAAAGGTAATTTGTTAGAAATGGGGACCTCGACTATTGTATGCAAGTCCCTGTAACATAATTTAGTTTTGTTATTTTTTCTCTCTGTCATATTTTTTGTGTTTGGCTTTTCATTTTCTAGAAATATGCAGTTTTGCCTCTCTCTCTCTCTCTTTTTTTAACCACAGCTTGACATCCTCTTTCTTTTGTACCCTATGAGCAAATTCAAAAACATTTTCCTACCTTTAAAATCAAACATTAAAACATTTCAGTTTATGTAAGTTTCATTGCAAACTCTTGCTGGTAACTAACCAATGCACTAATTCCATTTCTATTTCTTACATATAAAATACTGGCATCAACTTGTTAATACAGAAGAGTAATTCACTGATTTGTTTGTGGTTATTTAGTATATGGTTATATTAATAGCTTCAGATGATTTCCTCATTTCTATCTTGCAAGTTCTCTGTTGGTGTGACATTACAGTCTATTCAGAATTGTATTAATGCCATGTGCCCGATGTTTGTAGTATTAACAAGATTGGAGTATAAAAGAAATTATTTACTTTCCATCCAATCATTGTCACAATTATGTGATTTGTATTACAAACACCTATTTTCCTATGACGTGTTCTACATTCTTGGCTTTGGTCTATGAAGGATCTGTGGATTGTAATTCCATACCTCCAACGTCAAAATGGACATCTGTTAATTATGAATAAGGAGTGCCAGATATCGAATTCATGAAGAATACCCATAGTTTAAATATATCTTATTGAGCATTAACTTCAGTTGTCTCCATTTATTTACAAGTATTAATTACAAATAATGTGTACCTTATTGTAATATACACGATAGGGTACAAGACCTCAAAAATGACCATCAGTGAAGTTCGTTGTAGCCGTTCAAATAGGTTATTTTAGATATTGTTTAGTTTATTTTGTAATTTCCTATGTTTGTGAGGGAGTTGGGATGTTTTCGACTGTTAGAACTTCAGACCATAATGTGATTAGTTTGGTTTTTCGGACTAATAATCATTGACCATATATGGAGAAGAAAACATACACATTAGTCATTGCTTAACAATTACAGATGTTGGGTTAATTATGGTGGCAGTATTTTGGTAATGCGTACGCACATCTTTTTTTATCCTTGCTACCAAAGAGTACGATGTTTAGAAGGCAGCCGTTGTCCTGTACAATTGGTATGTTGGTATTATTTGTGGTTGGTATTAATCTGTGTTCTGTTCGTCTGTAATAGAATTTTTGTGTTGTATAGTATAAATATAATACAATACGGTGTTGTCATTGTAAATTATTATAGGTGCTGCGTTATTGTGTGTTAATGGTAAGACACTGCACGTTTCCTTTCTCCTTCGATGTATAAATATAATGTTATTGATTGTCTGCTATGAAGCTCTTGATGCACGTGGAATAAACCGTCTTGCAGAATGTGAGGGTTATTAAATTACAAGTTTGAAGAAAACATAACTAATTTGATGTTTACAGTTGTAATATGTACAAAATTCGATGTTAAGATTGTAACTTTAATTGGTGTAAATACGAGGTTTGAAAAGCACAATTCATACATTTAAGGAATACGATCAGAATTAATTTGACAAATGAACATTAATATATCTAGAAAATTATTCTGTTTCAGATATTGAACACTGAAGTAAATCTCATTTATTTATTCTGATTTACAACCAGATAACAACCGCTAATTCCAGAAGTACAACAAATTATTACATTTTTGTATGTATAATGTTTGTTTCCAACATTTTTATTAGTTGTAGTAATAAGTACACATTTAATGAAATTGGCCTGTTGATGCATATTAGAGTTAAAAGAAAAGAAACAATACAAAGACTTTTTTTCCTATGACAGATCAGAAATGTTTGCATTTTGTCAAGACCTGGGAAAGGTATTAATTTGATCCTATGTATCATAAGCATCCCTAATAAAAGTATGGGTAACATCACTCTTCTCCCAAAAGAGAAGAGTGATGTTATTATATTGCTAAGCCATAGTGCATGGATCATGAGAGTAGCAGTATGACTCAAAATTAGAAATGCCACATATTATTTCATGAGTATTTTACAGACAAGCTTTACAATACATTGGTTGTTTGTAATTTTTTTTATTTGAATCCTGGTTTAAATTTCCAATATTGATTTTTAGATGTTTCATTTGATATTTTTTTGAGAGACAGGCTACATTATCTTATTCAGTGACACTTATTTTGTTTTTCTACATAGAAAATGGCCATAGTAAGTAGAAAACGTCAGAGTACACAGGATGCAGGGCAAGAATCAAATGCTGAGATAGATAGAAAGATTTTGAAGTATGAGAAACCAAAGAAACTCAAGAAAAGAAATAGTGGGCCCATCAAAACGGTTGCCAAAATTCCAAAAGTAGCTGGTAAGTAATTTTTATGCACCTCAAGTTCTCTTGATTTGTGTTTAGATATGTCATATTTTAAAAATGAAGGTTAATGTTCACACACACACACACACACAAGACCATGTACCAACTAAGTCATTAGCAATTACACATATGGGACTGTGCCCCAGCTGTGCTACTATCATAAAACTGAATTTTATATCTTGCTTAGATAAACAATTTTATACGGTACATACATAAACCTTTTCAAAGTTGATCTATATAATTAGAAGAAAAAAAATGATAAGTACAGTATTTTGAAAAAGATGTCTTATCAGTGACAGGATTTTCATAACCAAAATAATGTATGCACAGAGCCATGGTCAAGCAAGTTGGTACAGGGCAGTGTGGTTTGTAAGAAGGGCATATGTTAAACAAGTTGTATTGGCCTGAGCTCTTCTTACCAATCACCAACTAATTTTTATTATTATTATTATTATTATTCCATCTATTCACCATTTTACTGGGTATTTATTTCTATGTACCTGAGACAAACCTTGCCCTTGAGGTACATAGTGTAGCAGCTATTTCCGAAATGCATTTTGTTTTTTAATAAGTGATACATGCATTAAACAGATTCCGCGAGAGGCATTATATATTTTACGTGAGCTTCTTTCAAATTTATTACTATTATTATTACTCTTGCTTGCTCAAGCCTTTGTAGTGAGCGGACGTGCCTTGTCAGTGCTCCATGCTGTGTGTATTTAGTGTGTGGTGCTGTTGTAAAGGAATCTGCTACCTGCAGCCTCCCGGCACAATGACTGCTAGCAGGGATACTTGTGTGGTGTGTAAGAAGGCTTTGTATGGAAAGCAAAAATATATTAGATGTTGTGGGCCATGTGCCACTCGATTTCATCTCACTTGCTTAAAAATGAGTGAGGTCGAATATTAATTTTTTTATGTCTGATTGTGTTTCCACCTACAAATGTGCAAAGTGTGTCAAGGCGCTGCAGGGTATTAGAGGTGAAAGTACACCGTCGCAGAACTTGCGTTTTTCCTCTGCCTTGTTGCTTCCTAAGATTGTAGTATCTCCTGGAAAGGAACTTATTTTGCCAGACGTTGGGGATTCTGACTCTCTCGGTGGTCAGCTGGAGATGGTGAGACTTAATGGAGTTAGCACGCATAATTTGGTGGAAAATTTAGTGGAGTCGGTTCTGAAACTGCCTTAGGATGTGCAGCAGCTGCGCAAAGATAATGCATATCTGAAGCATCATTTGAGTAGCATTACTGCCAGAGTTCCTGTACTTTCTGCGGACAGTTCTAAATCGACATGTATGTTATAATTTTTACAATCATAATTTTTTTCTGTAGAAATGTCTCTCATATTTTAGTTCTCATGTTGTGTGTCTGTGTTACAGAAAAACCTGATTGGTCCGAGTTCAAAAAGAAGAAGAAAGAATTAAAAAAGGCACGAAAGGGACACAAGTGCTCAGTTTACGATCTTATTGAGAAATCAAAGAAGTTGTGGGAGAAGGTTCGAAGAAGTGACTGTCCCACTGAAAAACAGGAAAAACTAACCTTGGAAATACACAACTTATTAAAAAACAAACTGGATAAGGTAAATGATGATTAACACTGCAACCTGTCCAGTGCTGATCACTGCTTGCCCTGTGTATTCAAACGAGTCCTGATTATTTTAACTGTGTAGTGTATGGTTGAAATCCTGTTCATTTTCTGAAAATTGTAAACTGGGTGTGTCCTTTATTATTGTTTCTCAAACTGTTCTATGGAACTCTGGGGTTACGTGAAGTATTTTCAAGGGTTCCGTGAGAAAATACTGTCTAATTCTGGATTAACTTATTTTACAATGCCTTTGCTATTACAGTAGTTGTATTGTCAAATTTTGTCTGTTTCTGCATATACACATTTCCTTTATAATTAATCGTACTCTTCATTAACGTAGTCACTTGTGATATAAATTTCACTTTATAAAAAAAGAATACAGTTAAGCCACATTGCAGCAATGAATGCAGCAAACTTGAGTAATATCAGTTGCATCTTACCTGCTCTTATAATTGTAAAAAAATAACATAAACACTGCCATAGGAGAAAAGTATTTCACATTTAAAGACCAATTTATTTCCACAGGTTGTATATTCTCATGACTTATCTCGAGTAGTTCAGTGGTTGCTGAAAATTGGTACACCTGAGTTGAGAGCGGCAATTACGCAAGAACTCACATCTCATGTACCAGCTATGCTTCAGTCTAAGTATGCTTGCTTCTGTGTGAAAAGAATGCTGAAGTATGGTTCCCATGGGTCCAGAAAATCAGTCATACAATCTCTTCACGGAAAGGTGGTGAAGCTAACACGCCATTCTGTAAGTTTTGTGTTATTTTCAGAATAAACTAAGGAAATATGTGAGGTCATTTCAATCTTACATAATGGCAGTTCCATGGGTCGAGAATTTTCTTGTCAGGTTCATTATGTCATGTAAAGAAGGCATATACGTATATTTTTTTCCTTAAATCCAGTGAAATGACATTGAAAGGTGCTGAAAACATTTTCCTAGGTAGAAGTAGATGAAATATTTATATACGCACATATTGTACTTGCCTGAAACTAGGATAAAAGATTTTATTCATTTAGGTCTCTGAAATTAAAGAATCATTTTGTACCAGTTATCTGACATGTAATTACAGTGGAACCTCTTTTAACCGACCTATTTGAGGGGAACCATTGTCAGATGAGCAAGGGGACCCCCTCCTAAATATACTCCGTTGTGGGTTGCTTTAGATTTCAAAATTGAAACCATTCCCTCCTTGGTTGACACAGGTGCTCAATTTTCTTTTATTCGCGCTGACATTTTGGAAATTTTTATATCGTTCAGTAGTGTCCTGCAAGTCGGTTCCTTGTTTACTATCTTAGTGAATGGACAGATGTGTCACGTAACTGAAGCAGCTAAGTTGTACGTTAAGCTTCTGAATTTCTTGTGGGATCAGGAATTAAAAATTCTGAGTGGTGGATCTTTTTTCCATTATGTTGGGGTTAGACTTCATATCTAGCACTTGCATGTTTATTGACCTCTGAGCCCATGAATACTGTTTTCATTTTTTTACAGCGGTTGCTGATTACTTTCAGGAGCTATTGGGAGAAGCCAAGAAGGTTAAGACCTGGTCCTAGACAGCCTTTTCCAAAAATTGTTGGAGGATTATCCCAAATTGTTATCTAGTGGGATAGGCACTACTAGGTGTGCTCACTGTGAGAGATCAAGTCCCCATTAAATCGCCTCCGTTTTGCTATGCTTTGCCTAAACAAATTTTGAAAGGTTTGATTGGTGACTGCCGTAAAGTTAATGCTAAGGTCAACTTTGATTCCTATCCTTTACCCACAATAGATTAAGCACTTCAACAATTTGCTGGTTCCATAGTATTTTCCATTTTAGATTTTAACTCTGCGTACTACCAGGTTCCCCTGTCTCATCGTAGCCGTCGGGTCACTGTGTATTGTACACCCTTTGGCCTCTACGAATTCAATAAGTTACGTATGGAGATAAGTGTCGGTTGTCAAGGGTTGAGCCAAGTGGCCGACGAGTTATTTTCAGATTTGAAGGGGCAGTGTGTCTTCAGTTTTATGGACGATTTAGTTGTCTACTCACCATTGCTGACCGACTATGAAGTGCATCCTCATGAGGTTTTTTATCGTCTTTAGCAAGCTGACTTTACCCTGAATAAAGATATGATTGCTCTCAGCACAAGTGTTTGTTGTAAGATAGAGTTATATTTATTATAAGTTGGTTTGATGTAGTTTTGAGGCAAGTATTGCTGTGGCTTTCTCAAATTACTACACAGCACAACAACCCAGAAGACAGCTGTCTTTTCTCTTCTCTTTTCACAGGTGGCATCACCTGTAGTTGAATACATGTACTCAACATGGACTAGTGCATTTGAGAAGAGTCAGTTGCGACAAGAATTCTATGGTGATATGTACAAACAGGACAAGGAGAGCAACGTGCAGAGCCTTGATGATATTGTTCAAAAGGCACCAGCAATGAAGGAAGCTGTTCTCAGTGCCGTGAAAGCCAACGTGTCACAAATTCTTGACAAGTCAGTATCGGCAACTTGTTTGATATCTAAACTTCAATGTGGCTGTCAGATACTTCCATGTCATACCTTTATTGTTCTGAAATGTGGCTTTGGATGTTGATGACTGTTTAGAACTGTATTATCAGAATTTTAAACTGGATTAATAATGAAATAGTCGCCCTCAGTGGTCTAGCAGTTAGCGTGCTTGCTATTTCTTGCAAGAATCATCGACTTGAAGTATCTTGGGATAATCAGGGAAGGGTTTATTGTTGCAAGTGATTTTTAAGGGAGAAGTATCAAGGCATTGATACCAAAATTTCACTACCTAATTGTCATTAGAATCCGGAATAAATATTCCTATGGTACAGTTTCAAAATTCTGATGTGCGTGTGACAGTCAGTGGATGTCTTAAACTATGTCTTGTAGCCTTGCTATTATTTCTGTCCACAGGAAGCTGACAAAGTCGTCTTTGCTGCACACGGTTCTCTGTGAGTACTTGAGACATTGTTTGAAAGAAGATCGTGACGAGATCCTCTTACACGTACAGAACTCTCTTCTGAACTTCACGAGTACGAGGGATGGTGTACATGTTGCCATGATGTGCATCTGGCATGCCTCAAATAAAGTATGTTACCGAACAAATGACCTCACAGTAGTATTTAGTTTTTATAGAAAAGAGTCAACTTGGTACATTACATATTACATACAAAAGTTCTTGTGTCATGGCCGTCTTTCTACTTGCAGCTTACCTGTTTCATTATTTCTTTGAGGGAATTCCTAAACATTGGGTAACTAGATTTCCTTTAAAAGAACTTAATTCTGTGGTGATTTGGTGCTACGGGACTTCATATGCCTAGTAAACTACACCGAGATATATTAGAGGAAACGTGCTTCTAGAAAAGCAGTTGTGATGCGTGGTGATAATTTTATTAAACACAGTGATGGTTATTTCACCGCAGTGAAATACACGTTCTAATATTTGCAGTAAACTTCAGTATTAAATTAACACTCGTAGAAGATGACTTGGTGTCCAGACATTTTCTGAAATAAGACAGTGTCATTTTTGGTTAAATTTTAAATCTCAGACTGTGATTGTAGATAGTTATAAAATTATAATCTCTGTATTACAGTTGCTTCTCTAATACTGAATAATTATATTAACAAAGAAAATAAAAGTTTTATTTCAGTGTTTGTTGAACATACACGTGTATTTTACCGCAGTGATACTCGATTTCCCATGGGGATATTTATGTGTTTTGTATTCCAATTTGTACTTTCAATATTAGGTTAATTAATTTCATTGTAGTGATTTCCTGGTTGATGTTACTTTATTTTTTGCATGAAGTTTTATTAATTAATTTCATTGTAGTGATTTCCTGATTAATGTTACTTTATTTTTTGCATGAAATTTTACGATCTTTATTGGACTGAATTTAAATTGTGTGAAAATTATTTTCTCATTCCAGCTGACTAAAAGACATTTATTTCTTGCATGTACACCTTGTGTGAAAGGTGATAGAAAGTCAATGGTTTAATTCACAGGTAAAGAAACTGATCATGAAGAATTTAAAAGGCCACGTGAAGGAAGTTGCAAAGTCTGAACATGGCCATCTGATGCTTTTAGCTCTGTTTGATACTGTGGATGACACCGTTCTTCTGAGAAAGGTATGTGTGAACTTCAGAAAGTTCGTACATAATCACGCGCACTAATTTAACATCGTCACTGCAGAGGTCACAGTAATTCATGGCATGCTAGCAGTCGATAGAAATAAATAATCGAATAGAGACAAACAACCAGAATGCTACGGTATAAGATTATTTTTGAGAAGGTCTGAGAACTGAAATAAGGCATTTTGTTTCATCTAATTAGCTTTTAAAGGAATTTACTTTCCTGTCTGTCTCATTACGTGCATCAAGTCAGAAGGATGAAAACTTCTGTTTTTTTCTGCTGCCTTTTCGTTAGATAGTAGATAAAAATTTAACGTAAAAAGATACGAGTCACTGCATAGTCAACAGTAATGTTTGACTAAAAGGATTTACATGTATTTGCCTCAGCAGAATGGATTATGAAATGGGGGATAAGTAATTAATAGACCTTTTCTCCAGCGACAAAGTAACGATGACATTTGGCATCCTTATGCACAAGGTGATGCGTCAGAAACTAATAGGACTGCAATTTATACTTTTTCGCCCCAGCATGAGACATCATTTCTCCTGGTAATAATTAACTTATTTTCAAAACTACACTTTTTGGATTTGGCTCTGGTACCGCCGATATCCATGTTTTATCATTCTTGCTTTACTGAATTTGTTTCATTAGATGCTGATGCCAGAACTTTTGGGAGATGTATGGAGTCTTGTGGATGATGAATATGGAAGGAAGGTTGTCCTGTACTTGGTGGCACATAGAGATCCCTTGTATTTTCATCCCACAGAAGTGGACATGCTCAGAAGGGGGGCTGCACTCAGCAATAGGTAACTAGTCCACATGATTCTCTGCCTCTTTATATTTCAGATGAAATTAAATGACCCTATGTTATGATTCTTTAGTTATAATTAATTGTAATTGCTTTCATAATAAGGACAATATTACGTCCATCACATTCCGAATTTCCTATTCTACCGTCAGTTTGTTATGTTACTAAGAGAAACGTAACTCAGCAAAATTGCATCTGGTTCATATGCAGGACGTAGATGGAGTATGATGTCTGGTATCCCAATTATACCTCGGGAACATTAAATATAATCTTTCTGACTTTTAAAATATTTAAATGTGTTGTTATTATCGCAGTAATCACTTTATGAAGCTTGAATGTAGTCATAATGTTTTATTGTTGTTGATGTTATTGATGATGATGATGATGATGATGATGATAATGACATAACAGAGTTTTCCTAAATTATCTTTAATCTTATAAAACTTTATCAGTCAAATTGAAGAAGTTTGAATTTTGTGGCTTCCTGCACTATGTGTCTTTGGATATAGAGTTTGCTATTAGTGCACTTCGGTATGTACCCCTTATGTAGCACAAGTTGATATTCACTTTCTGTAATCCGCATCACACATTAATGTTTGTGTTGTCATGGATGTAGTTAACGACTGCCTGTGGATTCTCATACCCCCACATTTGCACATAATGGTGATGAACTTTTCAATTCACACAGAAAGTTACTTTGTCCAAAAACAACATTTGTACAAGGAAATCATTGTCTACAGCAATACTCTACAGAATGTAACTAGCATAATCTGCATGTCTTGACCAGTTATTTGGTTACGCAGGTGCATGATTTGCATTTTTTATGTGTAAAACGTTAAATGTTTATGCCAAACTATCTTTTGCTGATGGTGGACTTCTTGGGGATGACCGAATGTCATGTCCTGCTACATATTCGGGAGGTCACGGGTTCAAATATCGGCCTGAAGACCAGCTATCTTGACCGAGGTTTTTCATGGTTTTCCTAAGTCCCTTCAGGCAAATTCCAGTATAGTACCTTAAATTACTCCATTACCACTTTATTCCACCACCGTGGTTAGTGCGCTGGCCTTGTAATCCTGGGGTCCCAGGTTCGATTCCCAGCGGTGCCCAAATTTATAACTTGTGTTGGGCAAGGCTGTGGTCTAGGCAACACGAAGTTTTCCTCCGGGGCTTCCCTGGTTTCTCCGTGGCATCCCAACACACAGAAGAAGGCAAACCACTTCTAAATCACCTGCCTAAAAAAACATATATGAACAGCCCCCAGTCCGAGAAAAGAGTGGAAGGATCCTGTTCATAATATGTCGCCAACTCCTGTAAAGGAGACGGCGTAATGAAGAAGTCTGAGTTACTGAAAAAGTGTTGTTAAATTAACAATAAATAAATATCCTTGGGCTTTTGTAGATAGGCTAACTGTACACAATCCACAGAAGGATGTTTAGTGAGCTATTTTTATATTTTGAAAACTGCAATTACTGGTGTAAATATCCTCACTGTACTAAAAGAACACTTTGTGGTGGTTCGGAGATAATATCCACTAAACAGCCAGAAATGTGTGTTCCGGTGGTTTTAATTAAAAATGTTGTCTTGCATTCAGTAAGAAGGATCAAGAAGTGAGAATGTCAGAACTGCTGGACACTGTGTCAGATCCGTTGTTGGAAGCGATTGCAAATGATGCTGGCAAATGGATCAGCAACAGTTCTATTGGAATGGTAACACTGGCAGTACTCAAGTCTGGGAAAGGTTAGAGAATGCATATACTTGCTAGTTTAAACAAATTTATTGGACAAGGTCATTACTGAAAGTGTCGCCCTCAGTGGACTAGTGGTTAGCGTGCTCGCCACAGAACCCAAGGTTCGCGGGTTGAATCCCAGCTGAAAGCAGTGGTGATAACATATCACTTTGTTTTAGACCATTCTGAATAGCAAATGCACAAACAAGTTATTTTTCATATTCAGACCTCATTATAAGTTCCATTTAAAGACATTTAAATTAAATTTGGCACATACTGTGTTTTCATATTATTTTATATCCTCAAGTGTGTATTAAGACTAGTTGCAGTGAAATTACTCTGAGGAAGTTAATGAATGAAGTGGAGATGATATCATGTACGTAATTTATATATTTCAGGTTTGGAGCTGCGGAGAGCTTTTGGCGCCTTTGCTGAATATATCAGCGATGCGACAAAAAAAATTTCTGAAGAGAAGCAGGAGTATTTTGTTGTAGAACATGCTGGAACCCATCTGATGCTGAAGAAACTTATACAACATGACAAAGAGAGATTAAAGAATGAGGAAGGTACGATGTAATATTTGGCTATACAGCTAATCAATGGACCATGATGAGCTAGACACATTGGTTTTTGTAACGTTTGCACTTTTTCAGTCACTAATTTCAACCAATTAATCTAAATAGGATTTTAGGTTCTGATGAAGGTGAGTTCAAAAGTATGGCATGTAAAAGAACCTTATGAGCATGAACGAGATGTTTCATTTCATAAGCAAAATTCAGCGGCCATTTCTCACCCAAGTTTATCGTGATTCACTACTAGATGGCTCTGGCAGTTAAATCAGGATTGAGTATAAATTGTGCAGAGGCAGTGGGCTTGTCACTCACTAATAAAATGCACACATCAAAGACGTAGAAACCTCTCACATGGGAGGAGGCCAAGACTCGATTTTGGGCTGTTGCACCACAGAAGAAGAAATGTCGCCCTGTGAGACTGTTTCTCCTTGTGGAAAATATTAAAAATTAATTATGATTGGCCTTTGAAACTCATCCACAGTCAAGACAGAAAGTATTTAATGTCATAGTTTGGTGTTCGCATGTGATGAAACACGTTTGTTCTCCAAGATCACTGAAATGTGTAATATATTTAATTATGGCCTTTTTTCCTAGGGTACAGTAATTTTACTTAAAAACTAAAAGACACTGATTGACATTTTCAGTGCAGAATGTCATAATTTGTTTTCTTTTGTTAGTGACCTTCAGTTCTGTTCTGGTGTCGAAGCTGACAGAACCCACTCTCTTGTCATGGATAGCTTACAACAGGGGCTGCTTCCTTCTAGTTGCGTACGTATTCTCAGTTGATTTATTGGTGTGATAATTATGTACATTGATACAGTGGGACAGCTTTACTCTTTATTGTGTCCATGTACTTCACTCATTCAAGGTCTGTTTTGGCCCTTTCAGAGTCACGACACATCTCTTTAGTTGAATGGTGTGCTTATTATATTAAGGTACATGAGAGGTTTCGGTGGTGGTAAAATATTTCCTGTGTCTCTCTTCTGTCGTCACACTTGGAGACTCCATATTGGCTTACCACATCTCTCATTATTCCTCAGCTCTGATTGGACCATTTACACTGTCCTTACATTCTTCTCACACTTCATTAATTTATAAATAATTATAATTTGAAATAGATTTAACATATACATATTATCTTTTTCTGGTGGTTGGTAGGCTTCCAACTTCGATAGCCGTGTGTAATAACTTTCAATTCAGAAATTGTAATGTTCGTGTTGTTCTGTTGCCAGGAATTCGTGTAACAGGTAAACTTGTTCATGCTCTCACTGGATCATTACTTCTTTGAGATATCATTAAAATATATTTAAATTTTTGCCATGATCAATATTTCTGTTGCTGAACTGAGCTTATGATTTTGATTGCTTGATATAATAATGACGCTTTCTCTCCGATTATTATTACAGTCTGATGGAAAGTACAATCCAGTTAGTTATTGATGAAACCAGAAGAAAGCTTCAACCCTTAATTCCAGATATAAGGAAGCAGACATCAGTAGGAGCCAATATTCTGCATAAAAAGCTCACAACTTAAAAAGTAATTCAGGATTCTTTGAGAAAAAGACTTACTGTAGAAATGAAATTGTGCACAGAGCCCATTGTTATCTGGAGGTGTTTTATCTTTGTTACATATACTTAAACAACCAGTGTTATGTGGAAATTATTTTCATGTAATTACAATAAAATAACCACTCTTTTTATATTTGTTGACCCTTCCCAGACAGGTGGATAAAATTTTAACTACAATTTTAAGACTTTAATGAGGACAAGAGGTTAAATTAAATTAATTAGCTTGCTTGCAGATGAGAATTATCCACGTGAATCGCCAAAGATGTCCTTGGTTTTAGTGCACACAATTTAGGTGTGTTTTTTGTGTGAGGCATTGTGTTACAGGTTAGGCCTACTGGTGATGCAGAATTTATATTTTTAACCTTATGGACATACGTTCAGTGCGTTGCAGAGTTATTTGGCTGCTAGTGCCATGGCAAGAACATTAACATAAGACTTGCGTAAATGTAGTTGAAAAGTTGGGTTTTAGTTTTGATTCTGAAGAATAATTTACGTCAGATGACGTTGACATTCATTGTACATGACTTTGACTTGTTTCAGTCCATTAAGGATAAAAAGAAACTTTCTGATCTGATGTTAAATTGTACTGCTGCATAACATGTCACTAGATCTACACTTGGCTACTTTTGACTAATATTTACATATTAACTGCAACAGTATTTTACCAAACATGGTCATAAATTCTGCATAGAGGCCGGGTATTTTCGCTGTTTTCATCATTCCAGACACATCTACCTATTTGTCAGAGATTAACTTGGAAATTTTTAACTGTGTCATATTCAAGAAGGGTTTACAAGTGTCCTCTGACAGCAGTCAAATGGTATAACAAATATCCAGAAACAATTTGATGAAGGTAGAAAAGCAAGCTGTCTGGGCATTGCTGGGTAATGGCAGTCTCACAGCCTTGCCAACTGACAAGGGTGTGACAGTGATCCTCAATATGGAGGATTACTATCATTAAGATCTTAACCCTTCTGGAGGATCGAGCATGCAAGAAACTGTATGAAGACCCCACAGACCATGCAACAGAAGACTGCTCTAATCAGGAAGTCCTCGCTCTCTGAAGATGTCAAACTGTTGTGTCCACATGGTGGTTACACTGGTGCTAGCCTTTAACAACTAATGCGAGACAGGTCTTTTCAAAATATCTGCACAAAGGGCCACAAAATTGTGACTATAAAAGACAGTGGTAGTTCATGTTTTGAAGGAACATGATCTGGTAGTGGGAATAAATTTTTGTAAGTAGTTTCTTTTGTCTATACACGACGGACACAATTGGTATCCTTCCCAGTGAGGCCTGGTTTCGTGGAGTGGTAAATTCTCAGAATAGTCGAAATTGGAATAAAGAAAATTGAAGACTTATTCAAGAACTTCATCTTCGTGAAGACAAAATTGGTGTGCAATAAGTGCATGTGGGATAACTGGACCTATCTTTTACAATAATAGTTAATGCTGCCAGAAACATGAACAACATCCAAAGCCCATCTTTTGCCAAACACATGTTTTGAAGGAACATGATCTGGTAGTGGGAATAAATTTTTGTAAGTAGTTTCTTTTGTCTATACACGACGGACACAATTGGTATCCTTCCCAGTGAGGCCTGGTTTCGTGGAGTGGTAAATTCTCAGAATAGTCGAAATTGGAATAAAGAAAATTGAAGACTTATTCAAGAACTTCATCTTCGTGAAGACAAAATTGGTGTGCAATAAGTGCATGTGGGATAACTGGACCTATCTTTTACAATAATAGTTAATGCTGCCAGAAACATGAACAACATCCAAAGCCCATCTTTTGCCAAACAGAATAAGAGAGGCAAGGCTCTGGTGTT